ATTAAAGATAATTGCATTGCTTGCGTGGAAGGTAAATTATCAAAGCAACCTTTCAAAACGTCAGATTCAAAATCGACAAATTTGTTGGAAATTATTCACAGTGACGTTTGCGGATTTATGAGTACCCAATCTTTGGGAGGTGCTTCATATTTCGTGACTTTCACTGACGATTTTTCTAGAAAAACATTTACCTACCTAATTAAACAAAAATCAGAAGTTGTGGAAAAATTTCGCGAATTCAAAAGCTTAGCCGAGAACCAAACTGACAAAAATATTAAAATTCTACGTTCTGACAACGGTGGTGAATATTTGAATTCGGAAATGAAAGAAATTTTGAAACAGTCCGGTATAGTTCACCAAACGACTGTGCCTCACAATCCAGAGCAAAACGGCCTGGCTGAAAGAGTCAACAGAACCTTAGTAGAGAAAGCCAGATCTATGCTCTCAGAATCTGCTCTACCTCAAAGTTATTGGGGAGAAGCAATCAATACAGCGACTTACTTGAAAAATCGCTCACCGACTAAGGCTATTAGAGGGAAAACCCCTGAAGAAATCTGGACAGGAAGAAAAGTGGATCTTTCACATCTTCGTATATTTGGATGCAGAGTTTATGCGCACATACCTAAAATTCTTCGAAAGAAATTTGATGCTAAGGCCAAACTATGCATATTTGTAGGTTATTGCACCGAAACTAAGGGATACAGAGTAGTTGATCCTGAACATCCAAAAATTCTTATTAAGACAAGAGATGTAAAATTTTTTGAAAATGATTTTTTATTCAAATCGCAGTCAAGTGATCAAAATAATATGGTTGATAAAGTTGGAACTCAAGTATCAGAATCCGTCCCTATTATAGTTACAGAAAATTCTGAAAATATACCAAACGAAGGAGAAGTCAACAACATTATTACTGAACCTTTTATAGTTACAGAAAATTCTGAAAATATACTAACTGAAGGAGAAATCAGCAATATCGAAACTGAACCTTTAACACACACACAGGTAACTGGAAATGACGACACTGAAGAAGAATTTTATGACAGTGTTACTGAAATTTCGGATAGTACAAACAATCAAGTTTCTCAACCTGTTAGGAGATATCCATTGAGAAACAGAATCCCGAAAAAGTGGTCAGAAGATATAGTTCTCTACAAAGCTGAAGAAGATGATATCCCTTCAACCTTTAAGGAAGCCATTAGTTCTGATGATAAAAATAAATGGCAAGAGGCTCTTCAAAGTGAATATGACTCACTTGTAACTAACAAAACTTGGGTCCTTGTGGATAGACCTAAAAATAGAAAAATAGTCCGTTGTAAATGGGTATTCAAAATAAAGAAAAATGAAAACGGAGAAAACACACGCTATAAGGCACGATTAGTAGCCAAAGGCTTTACACAAACTTACGGCGTAGATTATGACGAAACATTCGCACCCGTTTCACGCCTTTCAACAGTTAGATTACTGCTTGCTTTCGCAGCACAATGGAATATAACAATGGATCAAATGGATGTTGAAACTGCTTTTCTTAACGGTGATCTAAATGAAGAAATATATATGGAACAACCTGAGGGTTTCACTAAAGAATGCAACAAGGGGAAGGTATGCCAGTTAAAGAAAGCACTTTATGGTTTAAAACAAGCGCCTAGACAGTGGAACCTTAAACTTAACGAAGCAATGATGCAACTTGGAATGAAAAGGTCTGAACATGATCATTGCCTATATTATAAAGTTAATGAAACTTGCATGTTAATTGTTGCAATCTTTGTTGATGATTTTTGCATTCTCAGTAATAATGCTGATATGAAAGAAAATTTTAAAAGGGATATTAAACAATTTTTTAAGGTCAAGGATTTAGGAAACTTAAAACATTTCTTAGGAATGAGAATCGCAAAAGAGGAAAATGGTATAGCCATTGATCAAGAAGAATATATTAAAAAGGTACTAGATAATTTTGCTATGACTGATGCAAAACCGGCTAGTACACCTGCTGATCCTAATTTAAAGTTAGTGAATCCTTCAAATGAAGATAAAGAAGCAGCTCAACATTTGCCTTATCAAAGACTGGTTGGTTCTCTTATGTATCTATCTGTAGGAACTAGGCCAGACATTACACATGCAGTAAGTGTGTTAAGCCAGTTTAATTCTAATTATGGGACAATTCACTGGAATGCAGCAAAAAGAGTTCTACGATATTTAAAAGGGACAATGCATCTTAAACTCCGATTCCAGAAGAAAAATATAGTCACTCTTACGGGCTATACTGATGCTGATTATGGTGCATGTTTAAAAGACCGGAAATCCTACACTGGATATGTATTTTATTTAAATGGACCTATATCATGGGAATCACGTAAACAACGAACGGTCGCCTTGTCAACAACCGAAGCCGAATATATGGCACTTAGTGATGCTGCAAAAGAATCCATATATCTCAAAAACATATTGAAGGAAGTGTTTGGTTTAGATAATGGTGTCTGTATTTATAGTGATAATCAGGGAGCTCAACTGCTAACAAAAAATAACGTTCATCACTCACGAACAAAGCACATTGATGTTAGACATCATTTTATTAGGGATACTGTTGCTAGTGGTATTATTGGTATACAATATATTCCGACAAATGAAATGAAGGCAGATGTCTTAACCAAGTTTCTATCGAAGCAAAGACATCAGTGTTTAACGAAAGGATTAGGTTTAATTTAACATTTATAATGGCCTATTAATTTATTCAGAAGTAGGGGAAGTGTTGGAACTATTTAGTTTACACACCAACCTTCTTTCATATATCTTTTGACAGGCCACTTTTTTTTTTCTCTTTATATTCTTTGTCATTATCAGTTTGTTTTATTTGTTCTGTTTAAAATATTTATCAAGAAAATACATAAGTCTTTTTATCTTACATATTATTATTTTATTTGGAGTTGAGAGAATACCTATTTAAAGGCAATAAGTTCCTTTTTAACCAACATATGAACAAAACGCAGCGTCGAAATGTCAAATGACGTTGACGTAGGAGCACCTATGTAGAGATGCAAGTTTCGTAAACTATCGTATTATTGAATACGAAATAGGTATATCGGTTACAGTCAATATCGATATGTAGATTCACAAATCCATGATTTCAATATTTATCTATTTTTTAAAATAAATCAAATCAAAAATCTTCTTAATAAAAACCCTATGTAAATAAAATACATTTAATCTAAGATGTATTTAAAAAAAGTAATAAATAGAAACGACTGAAAATCGCACTTACAGAGATCGGTGCCAGCCGTGTCCATTAGTAAGAAGTAAAACAAACCTATTAGATTTATTTCTCTTACCACCTCTTTCTTCTTTTTCCTCAGCCTGTCTCTACTGTATCAGTGTAGGCCTCCTTCAGCATTTTCCATTCATCTCGGCATTGAGCTCTTTCCAACCATTTGGAACCTGCAACCCTCTTGATTTCGTTTTTCCAGCGCATTTGTGGTCTACCTCGCGGACGCTTATTTCCCCAGGGCCTCCACTCGAGGAGCCTCTTGCACCAAGAGTTTTCATTACGGGTCACATGTCCTGCCCACTTCCACTTAAGGAACGGCACCCGCTTTGTAACATCTACGACTTTACTTTGCTCTCGCAGCCATTTATTTGTTTTGCAGTCCATTAGTGTCATTCCCACCAGCTTTCTGTCCATTCCCTCTGCACTTACAATCTATTGATGGTGTCTTTGGTGAAGACCCAGGTTTCGGCGCCATGAGTGAGTACTGGTAAGATGCACTGGTTGTATATCCTGACTTTTTGTTCCGCAGAAATTTTCAGTTTGAAAGTAAAGTCTAGTGTTGAGTGGGCCTTATCCGCCTGTAAAGCTCGTTCGATTGGTTGCACTTGCCCATTTTGATCTCCTGCCCTAAGTATACATACCTCCCACTTGTTCTATAGTGGTTTGGTTAATGCTTATGGTAATGGTGTTACTACTTTCTTTTGTCATTATCTTGGTTTTATCCAAGTTCATTTCCAAACCGACTTGTAGAGAGGCGTCACTCAGATCCTGGATCATAATTTGTAATTCTTCTGGGTTATCTGTGAGAAGAACTATGTCATCCGCGAACCTTAGATTACTAAATCTAGCTCCTGCTATATTTAGATCACGTTGATCCCATAAAGATTTCTTAAAGACTTTTTGTAATCGATTAATGCAATCCATAGGGGCATCTGGTATTCTGTTGATTTTTCGATTACAATTCTCATCGCTAAAATGTGATCCATGGTGCTAAAACCACTTCTAAAACCAGGTTGGGTTGCTAAAAATCGTAAGGTGTACCATATATGATATTTTTCTTAAAGCAACGACTTCAAAAAAAATGTTAGTGTATCCACTTTTTGAAGATAAATATTTGTAGTATTTGTTCTTATTTTCAGTCGTTTCATTTTTTTGAATTTGGTTTAATTTTTTAAAATTTCTTACTTTTTTAATAATAGAAGTTATCACCGATCCATATTCTTACTTCTTACTTATAATAATAATAGACATTGTCTGCATTTATTTTCAAATTATGTAATTACAAAACATTATAATAAATACTATTAACTAAAAAAATACTGCTAATTTCAAAGCAAAAATCAGTGAAGGGTCATGAGACTTAATAAAAGATGGACTGTATACTATAGATGCTGTTGTAATTCAAGTAAATGACGATGTTGTTCGTTCGTGTGGTCGTCTCACAGCCAAGAAGTCAAGGAGCCAAGTGGGGCTGCCGCCAACAATCAGGATTACAAAATAATCTCACACGTGTTACTCATGTAATATCACATGTGAAGATGGCGTTGGTTGTTAAAATCTGGCAATTGACACACATTTACTATTAGAATTTCCTGCGATGTTAGGTTTCGAAAGCGATATTGCTTTTCCTTTGATATCGTTATTTTTGGACATCGATATATCGGTATTTCGTTATAGCGTTGCATCCCTACACCCATAGAGTACCCATTTGTCACCATGGTCCATGTGTCATCTTGATTTTAGTTGATTCTCTCGATAAAGAAAATAATCTATTTTAATAAGATAAAAACCACAAAATGACCAATGGTGTAGATGAAGTTATATTAAAATTAATAGTCAGTGTTTCCAATTCGATAAAATATATCCAACCTAAAAACATTCCACAATATTGAGTGAGAACGTAAGCAATTTAAATCGTTAAGTTCTTTAATAAATAAGTGAAATAAATAACGTTTGTTAAATAAAATAATCGTAGCTAGTCATTACCTACTACTTTTGATGTCATGTCTTCGTAGTGAATAATTGAAATATGCTATAAAATTATTTATTATTATGTACGAATATTACGAATTGGAAGACAGGAAAATGAAGAGCACCCTTAAAGATTGGCGCAAAGCGCTAAGAACACCAGCCACGTATAGAGTGGGCAATGCGGTACGAATACAGCCACAATTTGTTCTATTAATAATACTTCTAGGTGTTTTTATGTTAATTCTTTTCTATTATAATTGGTGGACAAGTAGCCATTCACCAAATGTACATAAATGGATAAACAATGTTAGACCATACAACTCTACATATCCCCTAACACAACCTATCGCCTCTGGTGATCTAGTTGCATTTAGAATAGGTATAGTATCTGATCTTGATACTAACTCTAAGAGTTCTATTAAACCACATACATACAACAGTTACCTGAAGAAAGGTTTCCTGAGCTATCACAAGTCAAAAAACTATGTTTCTGTATCTTGGGATCCAGTGGCTCCGCTACAATTATCCTCAACTTATTCGCACAAAGGGAGAGGCATGGAACTGTCAGAACTTATTGTTTATGATGGCAGACTGCTTTCATTTGATGACAGATCTGGGATGGTATGTATAAGTAATTATAAACATTAGTTTGTTTAACACATATCAATTATTCGGACATAGAAAAGCAACTTAATGACAATTCATGAATTAATTAATTATTCAATTTGATGGTTAGTTGCTGGTTCTTCTCTTAAAGGTCTTGAATTAAAATCTTTTACAAGTGCTTCCAACAGCCTAGACTGATTAAACAATTTTGAGTTGAATAATTACATTAACTCATTTATATTATAAAAACACATTATTAATAGTAATAGAAATTAAAATTTTATTTGAGTCTGTATTATTATTTTATAATCAATCAGTAATATTTAAAATGAATTTCTATCAATACTCTTATCATATATTACTATTTTTTTTAGTAATTCATAAGACCATATTCTTTATTTTTAAGATACTTTATTTATCTTTCATTTTACAATCTTAGATTAAATAAGATATATCTAAAAATTACATTTACATTCTTAGATAAGACAAAATTAATATATATTGAATACTATATTAAAATTAGTAGTTATTCTGACACTGAATTAAGTACTATTATTATGTAACAGGTATTTGAAATAATCAACAACAGAGTTGTACCATGGGTTGTACTAACAGATGGAAATGGTTATGCTGAAAAGGGGTTCAAATCTGAGTGGGCTACCATCAAGGATGATATATTGTATGTTGGATCAATGGGAAAAGAATGGACTACAGCCAGTGGAGAATTTTCCAGTTATGATCCTATGTGGGTGAAAGCTATAAACATTCATGGCGAGGTAAAATTATTAGAAGTTTAATAAAATTATACTTGCTTTATGCATCTATGCTGATGCAAGATGAACATGGATACACTTAAGTCTAAGTAAATTAATTTACCTTAATATGAGTGTGGACTAAAAATATGTTATTTTTTTCTGGTAGTGTTTAATATTCTATTACCCATAATCACACTTTTATGCTTATTATAATTTATTATATTGCTTAGACTAATTATGAAAAACAAGTATTTTATGCTCATTGTCATGTAACCGCAAACAGCGCATGGTTATGTTTCACAGCGGGCTTTTCTGCAACTCGACACTCTGTGCCTATATTGCGTGACATGGGGTCGCATTACTCCTGCCACCCCTTCCTATTCATATCAGAACTTAGAGAATTCAACATTTTGCATATATATATAGAACGATATTTGTTATACAGCGTGTTTGGTAATACCTGTATAATCCCGAAACATGGCCATACAACCTAGCACAAAGAACACAATTGATAGGTCAAAAAACAATTTCATGTAAATTGATATTTTCATACAAATATTTAAACAATTTGTTTTCAATTACTATGCTACAACCCTGTAAGCTTACACGTGCCGTCCCGGCGCACTCGCTCTTTCTCTCTCTCTCTCTCTCTCTCTCTCTCATTACCTCTCACTCTCTCGTTTCCTTGAATACATTTTGATGTTGCCGACGCGCGCACTCGACTACGTATGAGTTTACTTGTAATTAAAACAATTTAAGATTAAATAGGTACATACCTATTGCGTTCTAATCACTCTTTCAGCTTTCACTTGTCAACATTACCTACACTTCACCTCCACTTTATCAGTCCAGGGTCTCGATATGCCGGCCACCGCATAAAACACACATCTCCATTCGACTCGACACAGACCGTGTCGTGTTACTCTCGACGTAAAGTCATATCCTCTGTCTCGATGGAATAGGTGATCGGCCGGCCTACCTGTGGCACACTATGGAATGAACCAGTTGTATGTAACCAATTCACAAATGCCGCGAATCACCAGTAAGAAGGAAGACGTCGATGGTTTTCAGGTCTTCCTGACACGTGGCGCTCGTCATAACGCCGCCGAGCCGCAGCAAGATTACCGTCACAAGCACCGCCACACATTATCATCTCGTAATATTAGGCATTTGAGTACGAATTCATTGCACTGACCGCACACAAACATAATACACAGGTAAACAGAACGAGAATGAAAAACAAACCAAAAGTCCCGAAAGAACGAAAACGTAAGTTGACCTTCTAAATTCTGAAAACTCACAAGTACGCCGATGAAAGTCACGGACGCGACTGACGCGATGACCAAAACTACATAGGTTATTATTATTGCAACTCGAACACCAATGTACCTAAATCAAAAGTGTACCGATTTTGGGGTTCCGCGTCAAGAAATATTATTTATTATTAGACCTTTCCATTACAACTAACCTTTATTTAATTATCATTTAAACTAAGAATAAGAGAGATACTTAGATTATTAATATCATTGTATAAGTCCGTATTTTATTGTTTCGTGAAAATAACACGGCTTTATGAAAAAATTAACAAAACTTCAAAGCAAATAATCTACAGAACCTTACTGACACATCAGAAACCCGAGTTTCTCAATACACATCGTCGTCGATTTTATGTCTCTCTCGCTCCTTCTTGCATAGACTAATATGAGCAATGGTGCGGATATTGAACTTCAATCAAAGTATTTGCAATTTCTTTTTTATTTTGACTGTATTAATACAGAAGTTTTCATATTAATAGTTTTTGAAACACCGTTAATCACAAGATTAGTGTTTTTTTATAGTTAAAAGTCATTTACTACTAACTTTTTCTTTGTTTGGAAATAATAAATTCCTCTCAGATGCATATTTATTCTAGGCATTTATCTTAAGATATATTTAACTTCTGTTATTTTTTAAACTAGTTCGGCACATGGAGTCGATGACCAAATACAACACAACAGCTGTTTTTAGGGTTGTCAGCGTACAGTTTTACTTCGAAGAAAAAAAGCTGAATATCTAGGTCATGTGCTGGGTTTCAGTCTTAGTGATCATTTTTCTGGGTTCTATTCATCATACCGTATGTGCCATATTCGGGATTATACAGGTATTACCAAACACGCTGTATAATGGCATCATAGCTACACCATAGCACAATTGGCGTTTTCATGGAAAATTTTGAAAGTTAAATTTATTTTTAGATTTGACTTATTATATGAATACTTATTAATATGAAAACTTACTTATTATTTATATATCTTATGTATATTTATAAAATAAAAATATAAAAAGTGTTCTACACCTGTATTGGCTCATTGATGTACAGTCAATAGCATGTGTGATAAAACTGTCAAATTTCCCCACTAGATTTTAAGCCTTAATATATCTAGGGTAGAGGTCATAATCCAATGCAGAAATTTTTCATATTGGTGTTTACCAAACCTGCTAAAAGAAAAATAATTGAGAACCTGCAGGCGTCTATATTCCCAAGTGCATATATGTAAGTCGTTCCTTCTGGGCAAGCTCGTCCCACCGTAGATCTCATTTATGTTCTTGGGCTAGACTGAGGTCAAGCTTGAGCCCATTATATTAAAAAAATCCAAATGAACAGCCGTGTTTATCAAAATTTGGATGCACGGCAAATAAGAGCCAATCAAAATTACTCGAATATCACGCCATTGGGCGATCCAGCAATATGCAAGCGCCTGACTGATTGAGTGTGAGATCTTCACCAAATGCTTTGTATTTTACACCTTATGGTTATTGATACAAGACTCACTATAAAATGATTGAATTTCATACTGATTCTTATTTCAACAATTATAAGGTGTAAAATACAATCGCACAAACTAAGATCACCATGCTCCATATAAGTTTGAACTTACTAGATTTTTAAAGCATTATACAAATGACATTTCAAGTGGTTGGTGTGTGTTTTCTAATTTTTAGATACTTTAAATTAATCAAATTCAAAATGCAATCAAATTCAAATGGTCACTAGTAAAAATTACAGATCTAAAAATTATCTAGTTATATGTAATACTTACTTAGTTTTAAAGCTAATTATAAATTAAATTTTCCAGGTCCAACATCTTAACTGGGTGCATCAATATAAAGCTGTAAGAAGCGCTATCGGAATACAATGGCCAGGATACATGATACATGAATCTGGTGTATGGTCCCCCATCAAACGGAAGTGGCATTTTCTACCAAGGAGATGTAGTCATGAGACCTACAATGAGACCCTGGATGAGATCAGGGGTTGTAATTATCTCATAACAGCAGACAATGACTTTCAACATATACAAGCTTATGAGGTAAAACTGGCTTGTGTGTTAATATTTCATTACCATGATCTTATTTCCCGTCTTCTTCTTTCCCTCTTAACCCATTACATTTTGAAGAAAAGGTGATATTAAAAAGTCATGATTAGTCTATCAATGCTCTCAATGCTGGGGCATAGGCTGTCCCTATGCATGAAATCAAATTGTATCCATGACAACGACCATTACTCAGCAATTCGGCCTTAGTGTAGATTAATCATTATTAACGACTGCAGATGTAGCCAGGATCAACGGCTTAACATGCTTTTAGATACATGGAGGAGCTCAAGAACACATCTATTTGGCTCGCACAGATGCATCTATCCAATTTTGTCATAGTAAAGAGAACCTAAAATGTTTACAGTATAAATCAGTATTCAAAGGTCAATAGAAAATTATTTCTATTTGACGAAAGTGCTACAGTCTCAATGATTGAAGAAATTTAAATATGAATTAATTTTATATGCTTTTTTTTACAGATCACAAAGCACCAACCAAAACATGGTTTCTCTTCATTCAAGTTCATTCCTGGATCGAACGATGATGCCATTGTTGCATTGAAAACTACAGAATTTGAAGGCAAAACTGCCACATACATTACTGCATTTAGAACGGATGGTACAGTACTTCTGCACGATACTTTTGTTGAAAATCTCAAATATGAGGGCATAGAGTTTATATGAAATTATCAGTAAATCAGACTATTTATAAATTGAGTCGTGTAAAATCACATGTAAATATGTAAAATAAACATGTCATAGTTTTGTTAATAACTTTTTTTTTGTATTAAACCGGTAATGTAATAGGGATGATAACTGGGTAAAAAAAATGCAATTCTATTTAGTCCGTCAGTCAGATAATAGAAAAATATTAGATACGTATTTCTTTTTACTTCAATTTTACAAGAAATAGTATAGATAACAGGCATTAAAGTTGAGGAGTGGGGGCTCGCTACGTCACAGTTGAGTAGAAAACGTACTCTAACGTGACGTCATACGAAATTTCAACTCAATGTAACGCCGTAATTTAATGATTACGAAAAAAATTAAAAAATACGTGTCTAATATTTTTTAATACTCTACCTGACGGACAAACAAACAAAAATTAGTCATCATCCCTATTGATGCCCTTGCTATAGCTTTTTATGTACATAAAACATAGATGTACGTGCCCGTGCGGTAGTGCCACCTTCTTGGTTTTTAATATTTCACAACACAATGAGGTTAAAAGACTTCGATAAAGAATTCAGCAAAAAACCATGACCAACTTTCAGAATGCCTGGTAAACCAATCTTGGCAAACACTACAAATGGATTTAAATTTGCATTCGATATAGCCTGATTTGTTAAAGGTTTTATGACTCAACATTTAAAAAATATGGACAAGACAAGTTTTCACCAATACATACAAATTTTAAATAAGGGGTCGAATATCACTCTATACGACAAGGTTTCGAAAATAAGCTTTATTGCTCGGCGGCTTTTCTGGACGTACAGCAGGCTTTTGATAGAGTTTGGCACAAGGGACTCTTGGCCAAAGTAAAGAATAACTTGCCACACTCAATGTTCCTTCTCATTAAATCGTACATAACAGGGCGCTCATATCAGGTCAAACAAGGCGAAGCTAGGTCAAGCCTTTACAAAATCGAGGCTGGTGTTCCTCAAGGGTCGGTCCTTGGACCAGTACTATATACTATATTTACCCATGACCTACCGGTATTGAATAACATCACTGTTGCAACCTACGCTGACGACACTGCCTTCTTATCAACCGACACTGACCCTGGGGTAGCCAGCTATAACTTGCAAAAGCAGCTTGATGCGACACATAGGTGGCTTTCTAAATGGCGGATACGCGCAAGTGCTAGTAAGTCTCAACATGTCACATTCGCTTTGAGGAAAGGCAATTGCGCCCCAGTCAAACTTGGAAATGATATTCTACCACATTCTGACAACGTGAAATACTTAGGATTCCACCTTGACCGACGTTTGACCTGGAAGAATCACATAAAGAATAAAAGGAACGAAATTAACACAAAGTATCGAAGCTTACTCTGGCTGATGGGAAGGAATTCAGTACTGTCCGTCGACAACAAGCTGCTGATATATAATTCAGTTTTAAAACCGATTTGGACATATGGGATTCAAATATGGAGTGTGGCTTGCAAGTCGAATGTCCTGTCTCCAACGAGTACAAAACAGCATACTGAGGGATATTGTAAATGCTCCCTGGTTTACCAAGAACGATGAAATCCATGCATATTTGAACATGCCAACAGTGGCCGCTGAAATCGAATTGTATCGAAAAAGACACAAGGATCATCTAAAAAATCACCCAAATCCTCTTATAGCAGAGTTGTTGGACCCATTGAAAGTGGTGAAGAGGTTGAAAAGAGACCACATACTTAATTAGTAGAAGCGGTGTTGACCACTTCACTAAACCAATCTCCATCTACATCAACAAATTCGCTTATGGTCTTGCGACCGATCGCAAATAGCAATATTAAAAAAATATATATATATATAAATATTTTTTGTCAACGTGTGATTACTGAACCGAATAGTGGCGTCAAAATTTTAAGATTTATTACAAAAAATAAGTGCGATTCGTGTGGAGGGGGGAGGTAGTCAAAACCTCCCTACTCCCGTAGAACTCATACTAGGTTAACCTTTGCTAAGTCTTTGTTTAATAATATAAATTTTGACTAATACTTAGTGCAATCTCCGCAATTTACTCCAACGATAAATCTTGTTTATTTATAATATTGGAAGTGTACTCTTTTTTTTAATTTCTTTAATTTTATTTGGGCTTTTTATCCATATAGATCTACAATGTCATTGAGGATGTACAGCATTTGTTGATGAAATGTGCCAAAAACAAAAATGAAAGAGAGTTATTGCTGGCGGAATTTGGACTTGATACTCTCGATATTGGATTAGTGCAAGGTATACTAGCAAATCCCATAAAGGATGTAGCTAAGAACTTGTGTAGATTGGCTATAACCAATAACCGCAACTATTAGACGATCAGTCAATATTGTGTCCATAATATACATTTTTGGTATTGTTTAAGACCCTACATTTTTGTCATTTAAAGTGTACTTGTAACTTGTAACTTTTAATCTTTCCGTTAGCTATTGCAGACCAAGAAATCGAGTAAAAAATACTCAACTCGGAATCAAGTAAAAATACTCGATTCCTTTGTTTAGTATATAAAAAAAAAAAACAAAACAGAATAATGTTTTACAACGTTTATTAATATCACATTTTACATTGGAAATAAATCGTGTATTTGAAGTTATTAAACTTTACAACAAATTAATAAAAACAGAGAAACTTTAACATTTCTAACGATAGATCACTACTTAACAATCTCGAGAAACCCAACTAAAATGGACTAAAAAACTGTCGAAATAACATAAGGATTACAAATTATCATGATAATATGATAAAAGAACATAAAAAAATAATTATCTTTATATAAAGCAACATTATTCGATATACGAAATGATAAAACTAGGAACATAGCACCTGATAACTATCGATTTTTTATTTGACCATCATCCACTTTTGCTTGGTGTTTTTCAACACCTAATTTCGTACTTCCTTGTAGGGGGCAAGTACAACTATATTTAACTGAATCAACAGAAATTTAAGATAAAAAATAAACTGTAACTGTGTCATTTCAAGCCTATAGTGCGAGTTATTTCTTCAAAGACTGTCCAAGCCACAGCAGCCATCAGAGTCCTACGCAACATTCGAGGCACTGCTCCTTTAAAATAGCCTTTCACGCCATAAGTCTGCAACAATTGAAAACATGATTAATTAAGATTCGAATATAGTGTTTAATTAATTGTCTTTGTAAGATATTCCGCCTCAAGTGATAATCTTTGACCACATGTAATGTACCTACTCGAGACAAAAAATGTCCCCCGTCCGACAAGTACAAAGGGGGTCGGCATGTGCTCAACTCGTGCATTGTTAATATTTAATTGCGCAGTAATAAATAACGGAATAGTGTAAGCACATACCTAAGAGCTCAATTAACTTTAATACAAAAAAGAAGCTCGATGGCGTAGTGAATAAGCGACGCGGGCCGTCACGGGATGGGTGACCAAAAAATTATTATCTCAAGTTACTTCACGAAATATTCCGAAGCACGCTTCGGAAGGCACGTTAAGCCGTTGTACATGCATTGCAGTCGTTAATACCCTCCTAATTCGCATTAGGCCAGATTAATGACTCGTCCTCCTTAACCATCCATAAGGCCTGAGCCCCTTTAGTGGAGGCGTAAAACGGCTGGTGATGATAAAATAAAAAAGAAAATATACGGCATAATCGCCTTGTCAATGGTCGCTATAAATTAGGTACACATTTCGCTTTTGTCACTATTTGTACAATCAATCGCTCCAGGAAAGACACACGCTATAACATTCGTGGGAAAAGGTCCAATACGGAACCCTACGTGCACGAATCCGACTCTCACTCCACCGACTTTTTTATCATCGCAATTTTTATAATTTCAATCAAAGCCAATTAAGGTCTTCAGTCACATTAAAATACCCCGCATGAAGTTCATACCTTTAAGTCTCGTTATTTTAAACATTATAAAATCTGAATAATATACCTAAATTTAAAAATCAATAAAGTCAAAGTAAGTAGAATTCAAAATTATTCATACCTGATGTATGTATACAGCAGCGGTGAAAGCGTTAGGAAACTTGTCGGGATACAGTTGCATCTTGGTTTTGAGGACATCAGCTGGGTTGGTGACCAGAGAAGCTGCTATGCCGGCGACAATACCGCAGCTGAAGTGGATCGCACTGGCGGCACTGGGCGATTGTAGCCATTCTGAAAAGAGTATTTAAATTAAATACGAACTGCCAATAGACTCATACATCATGTTAATTAGAAAAGAATATGTACAGTCAAGGCATTGCCACTAATTCATTTAAATCCTTTGAACAGTTCGCGATCCTTGAAAAGTAATTCTTACAGAGCGCGTATGGCAATAGCAGTGGACCGAGCTCTTCGATTGTATCTCATTTGAGCGGTGGGGTAATGCTTAAAATAATAACATTTTGGTACATGAATAACATTGTCGTTTTTATACTAATGTTATTTTATAAGGAAAAAAAAATTACCGCAAAAAATATACGCATGTGAAACAAAACTATGTAACTGCCACTTTTCATTTGGGAAATCAGTAAAAATCTATGGCATACATTGTAAACTATAAAACTTTTCGGAATTAACGTGGTTTCCAGATTTTAAGCGATGTAATATATAAATCAATCTAAATAATAAGCAATAATATCTGTTACGTAGTTTCGACTTTAAAAATCTAGACACGAAATAATCTAGATCTTTAAAATGACACTGCATATACATTTATATCTAAATGTTATACGATTATATCAATAATTTACGTGTCAGAAGTGGAAAATATTTTTCACGCCTACTTCGAAGATAAGATAGTAAAGTAATTAAAGACGACGTTCTTTATATCAAGATATAAATTATCACTCATGATGCTGACGTGCTAATCCCCAGCATAAACAATTTAATCGTAATAATAACCTATTTGGTAGTGTAATAAGTAGTCAAAGAAAACTGTTTAATAAGTTTTGATTTTGTTGTTAATCAACTATTTTACTAGTATTGAAATACATTTTATAAGTTAATCCCTAATAATAATAAGCTGAAAGTATTTATTGATATAAATGAAAATTGCGTGTTATTTACTTAAAGAACACATCAGTCCATTATACTATCTTCGGATTTATCTCCACTCGACAACGTGAAAGATTATTCACTTAATTATTTATTGTAATCCATAATGAGTAATGACGTAATTAATGAAACGTCTACTTATTTGAGGGTCAATAAACCAAACGTGCTATTGTAAAGAAATGATAACATTATTTACTTAGAAATAAATAAATACTTTATATATTTACAACGACAAACAATACGGATAGTAAAACTATAGGTAGTGTCTATGACAATTTGTTATGTTTCACCAATCTTAAAAGTTTCTTACCTTTTGGAACAGCTTGTTTAGCTTGAGTGTAAAACATCAAATATAGTCCAGAGAATGGAGCATCCCTGGCAAGTGTAGGGCCCAGACCACAGGAGAGACCTCGAATACCTTCAGCCTTGTAGATAGCTTTTAGAGCTCCACCGAGACTATCGTATTTGTATACACCAGATTCATACCTACAAGAGAAAGTTGTTATTTAGAGTTTGAGTCGCGCATGAAATAACTAGATAATAAATTATTCATTGTGATGAATAGTTAAGTTACAATAACAATTGTATGCAAATATAAATCGTCATTGTTTCATAAAAATTTTCAGGCTACTGCGTCGTAGAGTTCTACAGGCATTCTAATACCTTGTATATGTATGTATAGTAACAGATATTATAATATTAGGTAAAGGTATAATTTATATTGTGTCCATTTAAATCAATTAAGCATGATTGGAATTATGGTCAATACTTCTAATTCTCACCTCGTTTTGATAACAGTGATCGGGATCAACGCAACTCCGCTCATGGTCCTGGCCATTACACCAAGCGCAACTGCTTCCATTGCTCCCAAATCTTGATTTCTGGTTTTTCCTAGCTTAACTTTCAACCAGTGAAGAGAAGAAAAGTATAGACCAACCCCAGGGACACAACGAGCAACAGATGGTACCATACCACGCCAAAGTCCAGCAATTTGCTCCGTGCGAACAATATTAGTAAAAATCGAGATCATGCCGGGTTGGATTCGGCTACTGCAAAAAAAGAAAAATACTTATTTGTTTTACAAATACCAAATAGCGCATTAAATATATTCTCAAATTAGTACTGTAAATAAAATTCAACAACAAAAATAGGACACTATTACAAATATGAAATCACACGTACTTGACAGTCGCCGCAATAACATTTTGGTTAGGATTCTGCAATCTCGTCTTCACCAAGTCCAAAGGCTGGAACAAAATTGTACTGAAAGTTCCAGAGAAGGAGCCGGCAAGAAAAGCTTTGAAGACAGGGTGATACTGTGAACAAACAATAGACGTAATGAATATACATGAACTGAACTGATTAGGTACTCAAAAACTGTAAGTGATAGTCTCTGACCTATTCTCATTCGTGAGATATGACTTAACAATGATAAGTTAACGTTTGTTTCACTTACATTTGCCACAATATCCATGATAGTTGAAAAATATCTTGCAACTATCTGGTGGTTGAATATCAGGTGATATCTTTCGGATAAATACCAAACTTGTAGTACTCGAAATTGTAGAGCCAATGGCAAAACGATCTTTTTAGTTGGAATAGCTTCAAATGTGATCCTAGATCGTATCGGAGTAGTCCGAATAGTATATAGGATTGACACGGTACATCAGACAAATGGTCATTTTTTGCAACAGTTCGCTCGAATAATTCATGTATGCAGTTAGCAGATGGTATCGTAGCGATTTTTTCGACCAATAAGGCCGATATATAGAAGTTTTCGGCAACTTTAACTTTTTCCACACACTTAAAAGTTTATAATGTTTTCTCATAAAACACACAAATAATCAATTTGGGGAAAGAAAATCACAGTAATTAACGAATTTAGCCATTAGGAAAACTAATATACTGGTAAAATTTTAAAAGATGTGGTATTTAATGACGGCTTTATAAAGTACTAATGTAAGATGTGGTTGTAAAATGACAGCTAAAATAGAAGCGCACTGAATAACTGACGAATATCGAATGGCTTGATGAGATAAGGGCGAGTATATTTATAGGCGTTTACTATCGGCCGCAGACGCTCGCCGCGGGTGATCGAAGTGCTAAAGGCGTAAGGTCACATATATCAACCTCAGATATCATCGTATCCGTGCCTACTTACTAGGGGGTAATGATAAGGAAAAGCGTTAATATAAAACTAACAGTGACCATTTTCTCAAATACATACCTACTCACATTAAAATGAAATAGAAAAAAAAAACATTTAGTTTCCAAATAACCAGTTACCACATTTTACTTTCAGCATCAGCATTAGGTATTTTAAATGAGGAAGAAAGTTTGGCGTTTTGTTACATCTTCACAGAAAAATTACTAGAATAATCCGATTTTATTAAAATTTACCATAAAGGTAGATTTTCCATTTAAAGCGAAAGTTTCCTCGCAGAATTTGACACGTGACCTGTTGACGACAGCCACGTGCCGAAAAATGTACAGATCGAACGACCAATCACAGCGCCTACATTTGCGGAATTCTCAGGGAGCCCATTGGCTGCGTATGCGCCGTCCGCACGGTGGGGGCGATTCCCCCACCCGGCGCGCGGGCGCAAAACGCGCTGTGATTGGTCGGCCGCCGCGCGTCACTAGTAGCTAAGTTAGATGTTAAGTGTAGAATAAGGGTAGGGCCAAATTTGTAAATTTTTGTAGTCAAGTCAAGTCAGTCAAGCAGTATAGTCAAGCAGTAACAAGTAGCCAGTAAGAAGAAAATACAATAAATCGTCTATAGAAGAAATCCGTCTTTGTTTTCACCATCATCCACGGTTATACAACATCGTCTACAGTTTGGTCCATAGAGCCGGATCAGCACCCTCAATAGTTTTGGTCCTTCGAGAAGCCGGATCTAAACACGCATAGAACCTTCGAGATCCAGCAACAGCAATTCAAGATGGTGCTTACAAGAAGCCAAGGCGAAGAAAACCAACGTCGTGTCTTCGACCAGCCGCCGAGATCGCCCTCAAGTACACCGACCGTACGAGGACGCCTCGAGACGGGTAACGCCGGGGAGAGCCTACGCACCGCACCGCAAGTCTCGCAACTAGCGCCTAACGCGAACCGCGCTGGGGCAGACGTTGCCGGAGCACGCGTCGCCTTGGCAGTGACTACGCAGCCGCCGAGCGGAGCGGACGAACGCGCAGCACACCCAACGGACACAGCGGCGACTACTGGAATAACGACATCTGCGATGACGTCATCGGTGCAACCGGCGAGGAGAGTGCACGTCGCACGTTCGACCCGCTCGGCAGCGAGCAACGCGGCACGCCGGAAGCTACGCATCGAAGCAGAAGAACGACTGGCTGCCATAAGACGCCGAGAACTCGAAATTGAAGCGGACCTCATAAAAAAGACGCTTAATATCGAGTTAGAAACGCTAGACGGAGCAGAGAGCGAACCCGAAGCTGAAGAACCGGCAAATAAATTACAAGATCGAGTGTTCGAGTGGCTCGACGACGCGAACGTCGACCAACAACGGGGGGAGCTCTCAAGGACCGCCGTGGCTGAACCGCCACCTGAACGCGACACGCGACGCCCAGATAGGGAAGAACGAAGACGGTCGTCATCGCGAGGCAGAGGCATCGATCAACTCGCCTCTGTCCTCGAAACCCTCGTGAAGTCACGACCGCCGCCGCGTCAAGCATCGGATCTACCGATATTCTCTGGTTCACCGCTGGAATGGCTACAGTTCGCGACTGCGATGCGAGAAACAACGCGGCTGTACGAATTCACACCTACAGAGAATATAGCAAGACTAAGAAACTGCCTACGTGGAGAAGCTCGGGAAAACGTCGCATCATTGTTGAGCACCGCGACGCACCCCGACGAGATCATGCGAACACTGGAGCAATGCTACGGAAGGCCAGAAAGACTAGTGGACATGGCTTTCGCCGATCTACGGAAGCTGCCGAAGATTGGACCTACCGCGAACGATCTTAATATGTTTGCGGTGAAGCTACAGAACGTCGTGGCCGTCCTGAGGAACGTGCAGCCAGAGTACCTACTTAACCCACTGCTGACCCGGGAAGTCTTAGACAAGATGCCAAGTTACCTTGTATCGAGTTGGTGCAACTTCGCCGAGTCACAGCCGGGCCCGAACGCCGATCTACTCAAACTTTCATCGTTCCTGATGAAGGAAGCTGACCGCTGCATGCGATACAATTATGTATCGAACCTCACCGCACCCTCCACATCGCAACGAACACGTGAAACGCCTCGCCCCGCCCCCAGACCGGAGGCTAAGAAGAAGACGGTGTACGTCGCCACCGAAGAAGCACCGCAGCGCAGATGCCTTTCATGCCAGGAAGCCCACACACTACCTAGCTGCCCAAAGTTCAAGCAGCTAACGTATGATGACCGATGGGAGCTGGTGAAGAAGGAGGGCCTTTGCTTCAAATGCATCGTGGGCCGACACCGTCGATTGAACTGCCGACAGAAGCTCTGCGGAATCAACGGATGCAAGCGACCGCATCACCGACTGTTGCACGCAGATGAGCGTGGAACGACGAACGACGTGGCTACGAGCGCGACCGACTCAAACGCGGCCGCAACGGAACCAGCCACCACCGAAACGACGACGGCTGCCACGACGACAAGCCGCGCCGTCAAATTGAAGATTTGCCCCGTGACAATCACGGGCAAACGTGGGAGCTGCGACACCTACGCGCTCTTCGACGAAGGCTCGACGGTCACCTTATTAGACGACGACCTGGCGCGACAGATCGGCGCCGACGGACCGACCGCACAGCTCAACGTCCGAGGAATAAATAAGAAGCAAAGTCACGTGCAGAGCCGTCGAGTGAAGATTGGAATAAAGGGAACGCGCAGTGACCAGATCTTCAAAATCAACGCTCGCACCATGGTGGGCCTGGACCTCACGCCGCAATCGATACCGGCGGAGGCGATGAAGCTACGACACCTAAGAGATCTCGACGAGCGAGAAGTCGTATACAAGAATGCGAAGCCTCGCATTTTGATCGGGACGGACAACTGGGAGCTCATAGTGACCCGTGAGCTACGGTCAGGAAAAACCAAGGAACCAGCTGCCTCCAAAACCGAACTCGGATGGGTAATCCACGGGACGGCGCCATCGAGATCGCTTCGCCGCACCGAGAATATCCTACATGTCGTCACGACCGAAGCATCAGACGACCGACTAGAAGAACTCGTGTCGAGACACTTCCGGATCGACTCACTCGGAGTGTCGCTAGACGCATCACACGTCCGCGAAGAGGACAAGCGTGCCGTCTCCACGTTCAAACGCACCGTGAAGCACAAGGACGGCAGATACGAAGTGGGCCTGCCTTGGCGAAACGACGACGCCAAACTGCCACGGAGTTACGACTCAGCACTCCGCCGGCTCACAAATCTGGAGAACAAGTTGAGAAAAGATCCACGCGACAGGGAAGAATACCAGCGGAGGATCGACAACCTCGTAGAAAAAGGATACGCCGAACCCTGCGACGGCTCCGAGGACGCAAGCCCCGTCGCATGGTACCTGCCGCATTTCGCCGTCAAGAATCCAAATAAGCCCGGGAAGTTGCGACTGGTTTTCGACGCAGCAGCAAGAATTCGCGGTGTCAGCCTGAACGATCACCTACTCGAAGGGCCGGATCTGCTACGATCGCTGCAGACCATTTTGTTCCGGTTCCGAGAGGGCGCATACGCGGTGACAGCTGACATCGAGGAAATGTTCCTGCGGATCAAGATACGCCGCGAGGACCAACCCGCACAGATGTTCCTGTGGCGCGACTGCAGGCAGAATGAACCACCGCGCAAGCTGAAGATGACATCGATGATCTTCGGCGCATCGAGCTCACCGTTCCTCGCACACAGCGTGAGGGACCACAACGCGAGACAGCATGCTGAGACGCACCCTGCAGCACTGCGCGCAATCACCGAAGCGCACTACATGGATGACTTCGTCGACAGCTTCAATGATCCGAGTGAGGCCCACGAAGTCATCACCCAAGTCGACGCAGTGCACCAGAAGGCTGGATTCCACCTGAGGGGATGGAACAGTAACAACAGGAAGCTTCTACAAGCCGTGAGCCCGGATAGTAGAGCCAAAAGCGGGACTACGACGTTTGGAGACACAGAGAAGACATTGGGCCTGCTTTGGGATGCAAATACCGATCGGCTGGGCTTCAACACCGCCCTGCCTAGAGTCCCACTGCCAGTGAAGTCTCGACAACGCCCGCCGACGAAAAGAGAAGCATTATCGACGGTGATGAGCCTATACGATCCGCTCGGGCTGCTCAGCTGCTTCACAATCACAGCGAAGATAACTCTTCAAAAACTATGGCGCCTCAAGACCGGCTGGGACGACCCTCTACCATCCGACTTGAGCGAGGACTTCGATGCATGGTTGACAAGCCTGCCAGCAATCGACCAACTACGGCTACCCCGTAGTTACAACGGGGGGAGAGAAGTGCGTCGCCGTGAACTTCACATATTTTGCGACGCCAGCAAAGAAGCCTACGCTACGGCGGCGTATTGGAGGTTGCACTACGGACCCGGCCATGTCATCGAGACAGTTCTGATAGCGGCTAGAGCTAAGGTCGCGCCCTTGAAGACCCAAACCGTACCGCGCCTGGAACTTCAAGCGGCCCTCATCGGAACGCGACTAGCGAAAGTAATCAAAGAAGAACACCGTGTCAACGTCGACGACACCGTGTACTGGAGCGACTCTCAGACGGTGCTTCATTGGCTGCGGAATGGAAGCAAGCGCTACACTCCATTCGTCGCACACCGTCTGGGAGAAATAACTGAGTCATCCAGACCGCAAGACTGGCGATGGATACCGACGCATCTGAACGTAGCCGACATCGCCACACGCGCCGGTTATACGCCAGCCAACGAAAACGACCTGTGGTTCACGGGACCATCCTTCTTGAAATCACCAAGAACGGAATGGCCGAAGCCACCAACGGATCGAGAAGATGACGAAACGACGGAAATAACGCACGTCATCACGCACACAACAGAGAGAAACGCGGCGTTACCGGAGATAGAACGATTCTCGACGTTCGAGCGACTGATCGGCGCAACAGCGCAAGCGCGACATCTTTCGTGGAAAGATGTCGCGACAGAACGAAGACACTCAGCCGCGAACATTTCAACCGAGCGACAAATTTATGGCTGCAGCAGGCGCAACAAGACTCCTTCAGCCAAGAAATCGAGTGCCTGAAGAAAGGAGTCCCCGTAGCACGAACGAGCCCTCTACACCGTTACGACCTCACCTGGGAAGACGGGCTTGTGAAACTAAACGGACGCATTAACAAGGCGGACGTACCGGAAACAGCGAAGAAGCCGGTATTATTGGACGGACGCCACGAACTCGCGAAGAAAATTATTGATCGAGAGCACAGACGAGCGGGACACTGCAATAACGAGCGAGTGGTCAACAACGTCAGGCAGCAGTACTGGATCCTACGGCTGCGACCAACAGTTAAGAAAGTCGCAGCAGGCTGCCTTATGTGTCGACTACGAAGATCGAAGCCAAGGAGCCCGCCGACGGGGGATCTGCCCGCAGAACGTTTACAGCCCTTCAGACGTCCCTTTAGTCATTGTGGGATAGATTACTTCGGGCCAGTCACCATCAAAATTGGACGACGACGAGAAAAAAAAAAGGTGGCGTTGTTCACCTGTCTAACGATACGCGCCGTGCACCTAGAGCTGGTGGCATCACTCACCACTGACTCCGCAATCATGGCGCTGCGAAGAATGGCAGCACGACGAGGATGGCCCGCCGTAATATATAGTGACAACGGCACTAACTTCCGAGGGGCTGACACCGAGCTCAAGAAGGCGTACACCGAGTGGCTTCCCGAGCTGAAGAGAGAGGCGATGAACTACGATGCCACATGGAAATTCATCGCGCCGGGAGCACCTAACCAAGGCGGAGCCTGGGAACGCATGGTTCGCTCCGTGAAAACCGCGCTCAACGCCACATTAAACGAACGAGCACCGAAAGAGGAGGTCCTGCACACTCTACTGGCCGAGGCGGAACATGCTGTCAATTCGCGACCACTGACGCATGTCTCCGTAGACCCAAGCGATCCGGAGGCGCTAACCCCAAACCACTTCTTGTTGGGGTCATCGACCGGCCTTCCATACACCGGGCCATGTGAAGAGGGCGACCGCAGGACTTGGAGGGCGACGCAAGCACTAGCCGACGCCTTCTGGAAACGCTGGCTACGAGAGTACCTACCGACCCTCGTACCACGCCGCGACCCACAACGTCCACGAAGCAGCGAAGTACGAACCGGAGACGTGGTTATCATAGCCGACCACGCTCTGCCTCGAAACACGTGGCCACGCGGCATCGTAGCCAATACCTACCCTGGACCTGACGGCGTGATTCGGAACGTGGAGATAACGACAAGAGGAGGAACATTTCGGCGGCCGACATCGAAGCTGATCGTCGTCGAACCTGCACTCTCCACGGAACGATGAGAGAGGACGCGCTGCGCGACGGGCACGGGGCTGCCAACCGGAGGAGGCTGCGGAGATCCTTCGCCGGGGGGAGACTGTTGACGACAGCCACGTGCCGAAAAATGTACAGATCGAACGACCAATCACAGCGCCTACATTTGCGGAATTCTCAGGGAGCCCATTGGCTGCGTATGCGCCGTCCGCACGGTGGGGGCGATTCCCCCACCCGGCGCGCGGGCGCAAAACGCGCTGTGATTGGTCGGCCGCCGCGCGTCACTAGTAGCTAAGTTAGATGTTAAGTGTAGAATAAGGGTAGGGCCAAATTTGTAAATTTTTGTAGTCAAGTCAAGTCAGTCAAGCAGTATAGTCAAGCAGTAACAAGTAGCCAGTAAGAAGAAAATACAATAAATCGTCTATAGAAGAAATCCGTCTTTGTTTTCACCATCATCCACGGTTATACAACATCGTCTACAGTTTGGTCCATAGAGCCGGATCAGCACCCTCAATATGACCCTTGTTTTTCAGAATATTCAGCAGCTACGCAGTATGGAGTGACGTCTTTTTAATACGACATTTTTATTTATAAAATATTAGCAGTGTGTTTAGATTAACCCAGAATATTGGCAACATTTAGGCAGAATTTAATGAAAACATGGATTAACATTAAGTGTTAATGTACTGTTCATAGCATAAAAAGTAGTAGGTAACCGGCAAGGATTTATTCAAAAGAAAACACAAACTAAACGCATAACTCTGAAACCAACTTCAAATAATTAAAAAAAAGCATGAATGAAATTAACTTTTCAGGGTTTAATAATTAAAAGTTAAATACCTATTAATATAAGACACAGAACTGTATCACATCGACTGAATATTTAAAAAAAAATTGTGTATATTTTATTTCACCATATACTTTATGAAATAATTATTGAAGTGACTGTAAATTATTTTAGACTCTATCATTACATTTTTTAGATGTTAGAGTTTATTAATAAATAAATAGTGTTGCTTACAACTCCATACATTTATTAATAAACTTAGTAGTAGTTAGTATTGTTTATTTATTTAATGAATACCTGGTATGAAATTCAAAAATAATATATTATAGTGGATTTAAACAATTTTATAAATTAACTTTGCATAAAAAATCACGAAAAAAAAAACTGCCTATGAACTGTATTTTTTTATTAATATTTTTAAAAAGTTCTAATTTTGTTCTTATAAGGTAATTTGGGGATCAGCTTTCAGTGTTTTAAACTTATTAGGATGCTCTATCCAACAACATAAATGGCAACTCAGACAGTGTGACATGAAATAGGGATTTTCAGAAAAAAAAAATATATTGGGTAGTATAGAAAATGAGCATAAAATTGAAATAGTTTTTAGGGTTATTTACACCAACATCATTTCAACAGGAAAATATATTAAATAGTTAATACTCTTCATAAAAAATGCTTAAAAATCTACTTTGTCCCATCTCAGTGTACCAGGCAATAACATTTCATTAAGAATATTTTTAAGTTTGAAGGTGAATGCAAAATTTATCAAATATAATAAACAGAAGACTCAATTAGGAATTTTGTTATTTATATAAATGGAAATTTTGTTATCAGCACAAATTACATACCAATATTGGTAATATTTTTATATTACTATATAGAAATATATTACTCCTCCTATTTGATCACAGATACTGAAATAAATATATATCTATGTATCCCTTACAATAAATCATAGGTAAGCAGAATTTTACAAAGATACAAAGTTAATATTATTTGTTTAAACTAATATTTAATGGCTTCTAATTCTCAGATTTTGATAAATTTATCTTATGGTTATGTAACCTTTGCCCAGCTCCAATTGAGAGGCAAAATGTCAGACATTTATCATATCCCAATGATTTATTTGTATTAAGAAATTAATTGGTCCATTATTTTTACACTGATAACTATTTTGAATATGTTGAAATTAAAACAGCTTAATAAAGTTTAATAAAAACAACAATTAATTTGTATAACATTAAGTATGTCCAATTTTAAATGTAGAATGATTTCATTAATGTAAAGCAAATTATGTATTCAATTATTTCTTTCTTGTTATCTGATAATTAGGTTGTTAAGAGTCTACAATCTTCATCCTATTAAGACAACGGAAATATTTGTTTAAAAATATGATAACTGTAGTACAATTAATAATTGGTATTACCTGAGTACAGATCTCCATTGTTTATATATACTAGAGTATTATGTTCTCGTATTATAAGTAGTAATCGTTCTGTGTAAACAGAACAGAATATCCCAATTAAATAAGAAAAGTGATGCCACATTAACATTGCATTGCAGGAGCCTTGATAAGAAAGGAATATTTCTCGTCGCAGTCAGCAAGATAGGGTCACGCTAGAGGACACTGATAAGCAAGAAGACAAACAACTTCGCAGGGGACCACTTACGTCTGTTTCGGGTCCGTTGAGGTCAGTAGGTGGAACTGTGTCAATCGCCCATCCATTTGCAAACATTTCAAGCTGTTGCGACATAGCTTTTAATAATATGTAAACAAAAAGTTAAAATCCTAAATTTCATGTTCATCGCTTTAAGTTTGACGTTTGACGACGTTTTGCTCCTATAACTGGAGAAAATAACTATAATTGGTTGTTAGTACGCTCAACATTTAAATCATACATTACATCGGGAAAATATAAATTTATTTATGTATTACGAGACCTTTTCTGACATCTAACCTTACTTCGTACCAAAGAGTAGTATTTTAACGTAGAAAATTATAAGTTGTTTTTTTATGATCAAAAATTATCTAAAATCTACCAATCAAGTTACGTTTGTAATCTTTTCCACCAGTAACTGAGGAAACATCAAACAGATAAAAATTAATGAAAACAACAAGGTCCACAACAACGACCAAATGACAGATGACACTAGACAAATGTCATTTTTGACAGACCACTTAAGATAGTTGGAATTTCGGAAATTGATCTACAATTTACAATACAAAGAAACCGTTGAAAAAATATATAAAAAACCGGCCAAGTACGAGTCGGATTTACGCACGTAGGGTTACCACTATCATAGATTAATATTGTATACCTATGTTGCAACTTATATTAATTTTGACGTCTAGATGGCGTTATGGCGAATTACATCGCGATAATAAAATATTTCTGTCATTTTATATATTTAAAATTGGTTAGAAATAAATGTCTCCGTTCTGCGAGTGTGAATTTTATTCATCTCCTCACGATTCCTGGGATTTTGTACCGAAATTGTACAAGGTCCTTCGAGCCGGATGACGGTTTTTGGATGAAGCGCAAATAAAAAAGAAAGTAGTAGAATGAAATCTATGGACAAATGAAAAAGTTTTATTATCAAGAAGTATAGTTGAAAGCAAAAATTAAATAAAGAGGGTATCTGTGACAAAGGTTAAAGTGTCAAGCAACTGTAAGTACAATTGTGTCAATAATTAGTGAAAGCTCAAGTGAATTCAGTAGTGTCAAAGACTTAGAAAAATATTTTAAGTTTTTAGGACTTAGAATATTTCCAAGAAATTGGTTGAGACGGGGAATCCATGCCCGAATTCAGAGCGACCATTTTGCAACCGAAACACTTAGAAATTTTCAAGAAAGTGTCACATTGACTTAGAAAATTTAAGACTTTATCTTAAAATATCGCATAAACAATGGAGGCGAGTTTAAGAGTTTTAACTGATTTAAAAATACAAATTGAAAAAGGTTTCATTAACTTTAAAAAATCACCGAAAGAACGTATAAACGAAAAGTATGTTACAGCGAGACTAGAAATTTTGGAAAAGCAGTATAATAACTTTGTACAAAAACATGAAAAGTTGATCAGTGAGTACACTTCAGAAGCATTAGATGAAACGAGTTACATGAAAAGTGGATCATTTGAAGAAGTTTTTGACACATTTTTGAATTATAAAGTAGAGCTTTAAACTGCATTATCTAATATTATTCCTGAGCAAAAATATATTACACGCAACATTTCATCTGATATTTCTAAAAGTGAATCAGTTTTAAAATTACCGAAAATCAAATAACTTTTAGTGGAAGATATATAGAGTGGTCATCATTCAGAGATTTATTTATTTCATTAGTGCATGATAACAAATCTCTTGATGATGTACAAAAACTTCACTACCTTAAAACACAACTGTCAGGTGAGGCAGAGCAATTAATTAGACATTTACCCATCACTAAAAATAATTATGAAAAAGCTTGGATTATGTTAAAGGATAGGTATAATTATTAAAAGTTCATTTCTAATTGTATTCTCAAACGTTTATTTAGTCAGCGTAATAATTTACAAAAATCTTCTAGTGCTCTTAAAGAACTTCTTGATACTACAACCGATTGTTTGCACGAGTTATTAAACCTGGGCATCGACACGATTCCTGGGATTTTGTACCGAAATTGTACAAGGTCCTTCGATAGCTCCTGGGATGTCATTGTAATATATATCATAAGTTTGAAATTGGACGTCGAGTCGCGGAAGCAATGGGAATTGCAGGTTAGTAATAATAATGATGATTTGCCTTCTCTTGAACAATTTAAAGAATTTCTAAGCACTCGTTTCCGCGCTTTAGAATTTGTAGAGCTCAAAAACAAACCTCGTGTTATGACAAATAATCTTACAAATACAAAAGTTTTGCATGCTACTACTACTATTATTTGTCCACATTCTTCAGATGAACATAAATTGTACAATTGCAAAAAATTCGCAAAGGAGGATGTTGATCAACCTCGTAGCATTTTCCATACGTTAGGGCTTTGTTTCAACTGCCTCGGGTACAATCATTCTAACAAAGTTTGTCGCGTTTTCACCAAATGCCGTATATGTAAACGAAAGCACCACACCTTATTGCATCCCAAGAATCCAACTGATACTGCAATCGTAGCTGCAACAGTAGCTACTACTTCTGCCGAATCTGTATCAGAGAACGAGACCGTTACAAATATAGCCGCCCATTTTTCGAAAGGTACAGCTAATCATCAAGTATTGTTAGCCACAGCTCTTATCAAGGCTGAGTCAAAAGATGGGTCGTCACAAGTATTAAGAGCACTGCTTGATCAGGGCTCTCAAGCCTCTTCTATAACTGAGGCAGCAGTTCAACTGCTACGTTTACAAAAAATTGCAACCACAAGCACCATATCTGGGCTTGGTGGGGGGCAAGGTGACCTTACCTCTAAATATATGGTAATGCTTAAAGTTCAGTCACTTTACGACCCCTCGTTTATTATTCAGATTAAAGCATATGTACTAGGTACTTTAACGTCGGTTTTACCTGAAAGAAAATGGTCATTATTAGATTGGCCTGAAATCTATAATGTCAATTTAGCCGATCCATACTTTAATACCCCTAACAAAATAAATATTTTGTTGGGAGCCGATACTTATTGTCGGATTTTGAAGGAAGGTTTAATGAAAGGTCCTCATGGTACTCCAATTGCTCAAAATACGTACTTCGGTTGGATTATTTCTGGAGGAGTGGATAACAATCTGCAAAATAACTGTCACAACATTATTGTAAGTATGCATGCAAAGGTTGATGAAAACGATTTCCTGAAACGATTATGGGAACTTGAGCCAGAGCCTTATTCACTCAATAAGCGTTTTACCGAAGAGGAGCAAGCATGTGAAGAATATTTTGCTGCTACAACACGACGAGATGAGTCTGGTCGATACGTGGTGAGTCTTCCAATTCGATTTGAGGATCCTCCTTGCAAGTATGGGAATTCAAAACAAATTGCTGTAAAAAGACTTCAAAGTCTTGAACGCAGGTTTACTGCAAATCCTGAAATAAAAAAAAAGGTATACAGATGTAATTAATGAATATTTGACGCTTGGACATATGGAGAAAATAACAAACTCATCCGACAGAATCAATCCACATGCTGTATATTTGCCACATCATGCTGTGATCAGGAAGGATAGAAGCACTACCAAATTAAGAGTTGTGTTCGATGCATCGTGCAAAGGAACAAATGGTGTTTCTTTAAACGATACCTTAATGGTAGGACCCACATTGCAAGCAGATTTACGACACATAGTGACTAAATGGCGATCTTATCCTATTTGCCTGTCTGCTGACATAGTCAAAATGTATAGGCAAATAAGAGTTAGTGAAGATCATGTGGATTTCCAAAGAATAGTTTGGAGAGAAAATATCACCGATGAAATTCAAGATTACCGACTTTTAACAGTAACCTTCGGAACCTTTAGTGCGCCTTATTTAGCGATCAAGGCATTGCAACAAATAGCTTGCGATGAAAGTTATGAATATCCCTTGGCTGCTGATAGAGTTAAGCAAAAGTTTTATGTCGATGATCTCATGACTGGTTGTCAAAATGAAAGTGAAGCCATTGAAATCTATAAGCAGTTAAACAAACTAATGGAGCGAGGTGGTTTTAAATTACAAAAGTGGACAAGCAATTCGGATAAATTATTGGAATTGTTAAAAGAAGATTATGGAAGAGATGTAGAAATAAAAATAGATAAAGTAACAAAAGTTTTAGGACTTACCTGGAACCGAACTACAGATGAATTTGATTACTCTGTAAAACTGCCGACGCCTTCTGCACCTGAAACAAAAAGAACAGTTATTTCAACAATATCAAGTTTGTTTGACCCGCTAGGGTGGATAATACCATGTATAATTACCTCTAAAGTTTTTATTCAAAAGTTGTGGATTGCTGGTATTGGATGGGATGAGGAGTTGGTTCCAGAACTCTTGAAACAGTGGGAAACTTATCGTAACGAATTAATAAAATTAAGTGAATTTTACATACCCATAATGGATAGGAACAGTTAGTGATGATTGTAGTGTTGAATTGCATGGCTTTTGTGATGCCTCTAGCGTAGCGTACGCTGCAGTTGTTTATATCCGTGTGGTTGATTCTTCGAGTAATGTACGGACTAACCTAATAGCTGCTAAGTCGAAAGTAGCACCAATAAAACAAATTTCCATTCCTAGACTTGAGCTTTGTGGCGCAGTACTTGTTAGTCACCTGCTCAGGGAAATAGCTGAAGTTTTAGGAGTTTCTAGGTCCAATTTACATGGACTGATTCTACTATTGTTTTATCCTGGTTAGCTGATCATCCCAGCCGGTGGAAGACGTTCATTGCCAATCGCACTTCCGAAATATTGAATTTGTTAGATGGTACACAATGGGCACATGTCCAATCAAATAATAATCCCGCTGACATAGCATCGCGAGGTGTGACTCCAGCCGAACTTTTGCAGAGTGATCTGTGGATACAAGGACCGAGTTGGTTAAAAATCGACTTAATAACGTATTCAAGACCGACACATCAAACACAAGAAGAAACAAGAACAATTAAAGCTCATACCACAGTTGTTTCTAGTGAAGATGAAGACTGGTTATGGAATAAATATTCTACACTAAGAAAATTGATAAGAGTGGTTGCATTTTGTAGGAGATTTCTTTTACTTACAAAATATCGTGAGTCTAATACTCCAGTAAGTGCTTACCTTTTGGTTTCGGAGTTGAAGGATTCTTTACAATTATGTATACGTAAATGTCAAAACACATGGTTTCATAATGAAATTAAAGAGCTTAAATCAAAAAGACAAGTAAGTAAAAAGAGTAGCTTACTTTCTTTGACACCATTTCTTGACAAAGATGAAATACTTCGGGTAGGTGGCAGAATTCGTAATTCAGATCTAGCATTTGAAAGTAAACATCCAATTGTTGTACCTCATAGTTCAAG